AGGAAAGCGCCCATGCTCAAGATCCCGGAAGTAGCCCACACAATTGGAGATGACGTTGACATTTTTGCCCAGCAAGAATCTGGCGAGGATGGCCAAAGATGCGTTCACCAGGATGAGGAGGTGGATGTGAACGACATCCTGGGAGACTCCGAGGGGAGAGGGATTAAGTTAGAAAGTTGGCTATCATAAATCAAATACAAGGGGGCTTCAAAAAGTGAATGGGAAAGTTCCATCATCTCTAACTCCAGTTTTCCACAAAGTTTTTGTTGCCCCCCCTGTGGAGTCCTGATTGGAGCAAGTGATTCGACTTAGAATCCAAAGGAGCCCTGGTGGCATGAGGGGTTATGCATTGAACTGTTCCTGTAAAGAGTTAAAGTCTCAGAAACACAAGGGGGCAGTTCTACTCTGTCCTATAGGCTCTCTGTAGTCGGCATTGACTCAATGGTAGTTGTGGATGGCGGTGGAACATCCAGAAGAGGAATACTTTTGCATAGTAATTCCCTTGAAGCCAAGGAACTTAAGACCTGATTAAATAAAACCTTTTCATCCCCTTCAAGAAAAAGAATAAGAAGACAGTGTCAGTAGCTTGTAAAAGATAAAGCCTCCAGTTCGCCAAGCTGTAGGGCAGATTAATGGGCATTCATTGAGTGTTGGTTGAAACTGATCATACCCACTATTCACTTACCAACATGGCTAGGTTCCAAAGACCAAGTCACGATGCAAAAATGGGTGTGATATGAGAATGGAGGATGACCATGTCAGATCACAAAATGAAAGATGACTGTATCATCACAAAGCTGTCAACTTGTATCCTTACATAACTTCCAGATTATATACCTCCCAACACAATGTCCACTCTAATTGCTTCTCTGTTTAATTGAAATGCACCACCCTTGCTTACTGGGCAACATCATTTTAGAGGTCACGTTCCTGAATAGTCTTGGGTATTTGTTCAGTTTTGTTTTGTTAAACAAAAAGATTCTTTGCACTATGGAAAAAGACCTGTAACATCGCTAAGTCAACAGAATCATATTTTGACCATGCTCGTTGTAAACCTCATGGTTTTAAACACAGGGCTATGTCCAGGACAGAGCTTTAGATTGTAAGAATGATCAAGTGCTCCGTTGTTGACAGAAAGCTTGGTGGTTTGAACCCACCCAGAATCTCCTGGGGAAGCAAGCTTCCAAAAGGTCAGACTGGGAGCAGACTGGGACCCCTGCACCTGGGGCCGTCATGAATCAGAACGGAAACAATAGCTTTGACAACCATATATCCAGGGCAGTCAACTCCCCCAACGCCAAAAAGGTGGGCCCTCCTCCGGAAGGTAGCTTCAAACACACCAGCCTATGCATTAAACCAGCACTCGGAGTTTGCAGGAGACCATTTTCCAAGCTCGGGAAACAATGAAAAGTGAACCTGTTTCGTCACCAGCCCTTCTTCTCATAAAGAATGGGGGTGGGGGTGGGGGGGTCCTTTCTACAATGGACACGCACTAGCATTAAGGCAAGGTCAGCCTCCCTCCCAGGAGTGAAACCAACTCAAACGTCTTTAAGAAGCTTGGATGAAAGTATTCTACTTCCAGCCCCGCCCCTTTTTTCCACCTAACATTGTTTCCTCTTTTCCATTCCGATGAGTCTACAGTTGATTTCTTTCTCCTTCCTCTGGAACAAAACAATTTTTATTCTAAATACATATTGCGAGTTTGGTAAAAGACATGCTAGACACTCAGCTCCTTTTCTCCCCACCTATTTTTTGCTTACAATGAGCCTCTTTTCAATGAATATCTAATGAATGTTAGATAAAAAAATGGCAAAATGTTATTTTCTACCTTGTAAAGAAAACTATATCCGGGTGGAATGTATTATTTATAGCCCAGCTGGAAGACCATGGCGATATAAATGACATTGGGCAAAAGTTAAAGTCATCAAGTCAGACTGGAGTGTATTCTTTGTTGGTTTGTTTGTTTTATCTTGTTGTTCCCTTGTCCCTGGGTTTGCTGGCTCCCCCCTCCCTTCCCCACTCCCCCACCTCTCCCTTGTCCCCCTTGCACAGTCCTTTCCGTTATTTCTCCTAGGGATTGTTTATCTTGCTTATTTTATATAGATAGAAGAAGAAGGGGAAGGAGAAGAAGAAACACAGAAGGGCCTATACATAGTTCCAGGTCTCTCTGCTGACCCTAATGTAGGTTTTCTGATCGAGTCTGATGAGCTATCAAGCCCTGACCTCCGTGCCTAAAGTCTATTTTCGGGGTTCCTTGGGGACTTTGCTGTTTTGCTCCCCTTAGTGTTTTGCCCCAGTGTGGGTGCAGGGGTGGGGGTTGTTCAGCCAGGTTGGCCTCATTCTTCACAAGAGGAAAACTTCTGATGGATTCACCTTCTTCCTCCCATTGGAATGCGTTCTTTTTAGATTCCCAGAAAAGCAGCTGAAGAATAACAGGAGCGATATTTACATGTCCAAAAGTGGCATTTAGCTCATTCCACTCCCACTAGTAGTTTCACGTCTTTAAAAAGAGATAGATTTAGAAGCCACCACTGAACGACTTCAATTAACTATCTGAATGAAAGTGTCTCTTCTCTTTGTTTGAAGCGCAAAACCATTTGACAAAATGGCCTGGTAGGCATCCCTTCCCTGTGTGGCCAGTGCTGCACTTGGGATTGGGATTCGGGGCCCATGGAGGCTAGAATAAATTCTAGGGAATGCAAAGTCACCCGGGGTTCAATGTGTGTGCTGAGTAAGGAACTCAGAAAAACCAGCCTGAGGACCTGTAACAATGACTTGTTCCTTTCAAATGCCACTATTTCACCAAGTCTCTGAATTCTAGTTTCTTGTGTGCCTGTGCTTGTGGAACTCTAAGATTGGCCATCAAAGGAGGCAGAACCAACGGTAGGCCTATGCTTTATTCATGTGTACAATGTTTTGTAAAAATCAGAAACTAGGCCCCCAAACTTGGTATACCAACTTCTCTTGACATATTGGAAGATCTGGCAACCCTGGCCTTGAATTTCTTCAAGGTAAAGGTTGACTATGTCTCTCTGAGCCATTAACTCTGTGGTCTGCGAGAGACCCTATGAGTCTCTGTTATCTTATGTCCAACCCACTGCCTTCAAGTGTTTTCTCACTCATAGCAACCCCTACTTAGATATTCTGAGACCATACATTTTCACAGGAGCAGATTCTCATCTTTCAACCTTGGGGCAGCTGGTGGATTTGAACCACTAACCTTGCTGTTATCAGCCCAGTGCCTAAACCACAATGCCACCAGAGATCCTTGTCTTATATCCAGACAGCTTTATTTGAATGGCAAGCTTCTGAAAGCCTTTCTGAGTTTATAGCTATGTTAATACAGTTTCCATTCATTTCTGTTGACTAGGATAGTTAGTATGTCTATAAAGTATTCATTGCATTCAGAGTGATTTACAAGTCATTTCTCATTTCATTACCTGATTCAGGGCTCCCCCCAAACCTTTGAGAAAAGTGTGCTTGCTATAACCACCATAGAGCTATGACTCTGGCGCAGAGAGAGACTACGCAACCTGCCCAAGGTCACACAGCTTAAAAAGAGCAGAGCCAGGATTCGAACCAGTGCTTATGCTGCCAAAGAAACTGAAACCAAAGAAAATGTGAATTAAATCTGGGTGAAGGCGTTTGACTGAGTCTCTTCATCTTTGTGTATGAACATTTTCATAATTAAAAAATTAACTTTAAAATATTTGTTAAGAGCTGGAAAAAATAGAGAATGCTCAGTTGCAAGTATTGATGGTGAATTTCCTTGGAAAGCAAAAAGGAAAAAAATAGCATGGTAGTATATTAAAGGGCATGGGTTAAAGGTTCCAAGAACTAAGACTGAGAATACAGATTTGTTCGATAATGGCCTTGGGAAATCCCTTATTCTTCATTGGCCTCAGCAGTACAATGAGGGTGGGGAGAGAGGAGACTGAACATGGTGGGTCATCTTCCTTCCTCTGTGTCTGGTATCTTTGCAAAGAAAAGATCAGTTTCTTTTCTCATGCGCCCTCTGCTGGACATGAGCATGCGATTTGCTGCACTGGTCAATTCCGATTTAATTCAAGTACTTATGGGGAGGTTACCCTGTACCAAAGCGTGGTGAACTCTTGGTTACTTGGTAACAAGATCTAGATTAGTGAGGCATCTCTGATTACCCTTAAGCGGCGGTGGGGGTGAAGATCTAAAGTACCTAAAGATCCTATTGACAATAAAATCATCAAATAATCAAAAAACATTATCATAATAATTTTGGATGTAATGAGTTAATATTTATTTAGAGCTGGCCACCGTCTTAGGTACTTTGTTTTCTTTCATTTCTATTTTCTCCTCAAAGTAACCCTCTGGAAGTTATTGTTCATTATCCTTACTTTGTACAGGGCAGAAGGTGAGAATCAAATCCCCTGATTTTCCAGGTGAAGAAACTAAGGCCCAGAGACATTAAATGACTTACCTGATGCCCAGCAGAGCTCTAAGTGGAGACTCGTTCAAGGATCTTTCTGTTTCTTCATTTACCTCCTCCGACGTAAAATCCCGCTAAGAAGATAATGCTAATATATCTCACTTTGTAATCAGATGCTTAAAGTTTTAGAGTTGAATGAGGCCTTGGAAGCTATCGTGTAAGACTTCTTACCCGAACAGAAACTTCTCTCTGCACTCCTGATGGTGGGTCCTTAGCCACGGGGTGGGGACTCGTCTCTGTCCTACGTTTGTTCTCTGGACCCATTCAGGATCTCTCTGAGCTCTCTTCTCACTGCAGCCTTCCAAGAATTTGAAAATAACTCCTACAAATCCTGTAAACATCATGTCTGAACTAAAGACCCCCAATTTATTTAAGTCTGTCATGTTACACGTGATTTTAGAGGAAGATTCAGGACAATACTCACTGTCTTCCTCTGATGGCCTCCCAAGATGTCCCCCGTACCAAACCTCTGGCCTACGTAGAATATGACAGCAATGGCTTCGTGCCAGTTCCAGTCCAAGACCCTCCCCCCACCCAGGGGAGAGCTCAAATGCAGTCCCCCACTGCCACAAATTATGCGGTCGAGTTTCCCACATTTGGGGAAATACAGGGGGCAGCACACCCGAAGTGCAATGGATAAGCCTCGCCCTGGGAAAACCACCTTTGGTAACTCCCCTGCCAGGTTAAGTATTCCAGTCCTACACCTTAAGAAAGCCTGATGACCATTACCCCATCGAGGGAGAGACTCAGTGGACCGGCTCCAGAGGGTGAGATGCCACAAGGAGAAAGTGACCCCAGGGAGAAAAACTGAGTTGTCAAGTCAACTAAGAGAAGTCACCTTGGATGTTCCAGCCCAATGGCCTCCAGGGTCCTGTAGCTCCCAGCGGTCAACTGATAGCGTTCACGGGAAGCCAGCAGAAAACCCAGCCAGCCGATCCCAGCCAGCCTTTGGAATCGTAACAAATATCAATACATTTTTAGAGTTCGTCATGCAAATGGTTAACATGCTCTGCTGTCAACCCAAGGATTGGATGTTGGAGTCCACACAGAGGTGTCTCAGAAAATAAAGGCTTGGTGATGCATTTGCAAATAAAAAAACCCAGCCTTTGAAAATGCTTTGGAGCAGTTACACTCTGACACCGAGGAGGTTGCCATGAATTAGTTAACTCAATGGCCACTGTTGTTGTTTTTTTGTTTTGTTTTGTTTTTTAAGTTAGAAGGGTTTTTTAGCTGGACCTACTACAAGACACAATGTCCCTCACTGACGCATAGCACTACGAGGGGCAACACTGGAGACACAGTGCAGGAATTGTGCCCAATCTGACCCCACCAAAACTGGGCAAAACACTAAGGGCGTGCAACAGAACATCAAGGGGAGCAGAGCAACAAAGTTCCCAGAGAATACCAAAAATAGACTTTGGGGCCAGGGTGGATCACCCCATCAGACTGGAGTGGAAAACACTCCTAAAGGTCAACAAACAAACCTTGAACTATTTATAGGTTTTTCTTTTCTTTTTGTTGTTGTTTTGTTTTCTTTTGTTCTTTTTTCCCTTCTGTTTGATTTTGTGCATATTATTATCTCTGCATGTGTATCTAGATAATATAGGTAGGATAAACAGTCCAGAGGAGAAAACAACAGGACTGATGGTTCTGGGGGGACATGGGAGACGGGGAGGCAGGGGAAAGAAAGTGGGTGTTAACAAACCCAGGGACAAGGAACAGCAAGTGATCTAAAAACAATGGGGAGGAGGGTGTAGGAGAGGAGGGTGTAGGAGATCTGGTAGGGCTTGATCAAGGGCAATGTAATGGAGAGGAATTCCTGAAACCCAAATGAAGGCTGAACATATAGTAGGACAAGAGGAAAGTGAAAGGAAATAGAGGAAATAACTAGAAGGCAAAGGACATTTATAGAGGTCTAAATCCAGGCCTGTATATGTGTAAATATATTTATATATGAAAATGGGGAAAAAGATCTATGTGCATATATTTTTATAGGTTTAGTATTAAGGTAGCCGACAGACATTGGGCCTCTACTCAAGGACTCCCTCAATGCAAGAACACTTTGTTCTATTAACCAGGCATTCCATGAGCCTCGTCCTGACACGGTTGCTGTAGACAAAATGGGTGTGTAAGCAAATGTGGTGAAGAAAGCTGATGGTGCCCGGCTATCAAAAGATATGGCATCTGGGGTCTTAAATGCTTGAAGATAAACAAGCAGCCATATAGCCGAGAAGCAACAAAACCCACATGGAAGAAGCACACCAGCCTGTGTGATCATGAGGTGTCAATAGGATCAGGTATCAGGCATCAAAGACCCAGAATAAAAAATCATACCATTGTGAAGAGGGGGAATGTGGAGTGGAGACCCAAAGCCCATCTGGACAACTGGACATCCCCTTACAGAAGGGTCGCAGGGAGGAGACGAGCCAGTCAGAGTGCAGCATAGCACTGATGAAACATACAACTTTCCTCTTTTTAAGTTAGAAGTGTTTTTAGCTGTTTTAATGCTCCCCCCTCCCACCTACCTGCTATCATGACCCCAATTCTACCTTACAAATATGGCTAGACCAGAGCAAGTACAAGGGTACAGAAAAGAGCTGGAAACACAGGGAATCCAGGACAGATAACCCCCAATATTGAGAGTAGACATACCAGGAGAGTAAGGGGAAGGTTGGGGAGAAAGGGAGAACCAATCACAATGATCTACATATAACCCCCTCCCAGGGTAGTGGACAACAGAAAAGTGGGTGGAGGAAGACATCGGCCAGTGTAAGATATGAAAAAATTAATAATTTATAAAGTATCAAGGGTTCATGAGGGAGGGTGTGGGAGGGAGGGGAAAAATGAGAAGCTGATACTAAGGGCTCAAGTAGAAAGCAAATGTTTTGAGAATGATGATGGTAACAAATATACAAATGTGCTTGACACAATGGATGGATGGATAGATTGTGATAAGAGTTGTATGAGCCCCCAATAAAATGATTTTTTTTAAGTTGTTTTTTAAATGTCTTCAGATAACTAGTATTCCCAGATAACTAGTATTCCTCTCAACTAGTATTCTCAGTACAGAGATAGGTCTATCCCATGCTAATGAGAGGCGCCCGGTGGGTGACACACGGTTCAGTGTTCTGCTGCTAAGTGAAAGCTTGGTTATTTGAACCCACCAGCAGCTCCAGGGGAGGAAACTCTGGTGAGCTGCTTCCATCAACATGGGCAAAGCCTATGGGCCATTCTTTTCTGTCACAGGGGTCACTTTAAGTCAAAGTCCACTCAAGGACATCGGATAACAACCATGACAATGCTGAAGAAATGACTGCTAATCCTGACAATATTAACACAGCCCTAGATTTCATTAACATTTTAGAAATCACAGCATCGAATTAAAATGTGCTGCCAACTATAAATCACTGGTATCTTTCACAAGACTACTGCTAGGCGGCTTCTCTCCAATTTCTTCCTAAATGATGTTGTGAAACTAAATAAAGGATTTTTTCTACCTGATGATTTTCATCTTCTCTGTTGTGATTCATCATTGCATCTTGATGAGGTTTTTTTAATTAGTTCTGTCATCCAATGTTATAATCATGCCTTGTGTCCTCTATAATTTGATAAGCAGGCCATACACATTTTATTCAAATAATTGATGACACTGTTGAATAGGGTGGGACAAGTTCAGAATCCTTTGGCAAGGCACCAAAGACCTCCCTTTGAGTAAGGGAGGTTTGGATATATTCATTGAGGACCACTTTTAGGAAATGGTCACTTCAACTCAAAATATCTCTAAATCTGTCATTCAACGTAATAAGTGCCCCTGTGTGCTCTGCAATTTGACAATTCTGCAATTGGTAGGCCACTTAGATGCCCCTCTGAGGGCAGCTTTGTCCCCTTGACTGAGCAGCACTTGACGGGAACGGTCTTGCCAGCTTCAAATCTGTCCAACTGGGCTGTCCAGAAAACTGCTTTTGAAAATCTGCTCTGCAATGACATTGTGGAGAAGTTGCCTTATGAATTTCAAGGTATGTCGAGTTGATAAAAGGCAGAATGCTCCTTGGAGGTGAGAATGGGGAGACCTTGTCTCGCTTACTTTGCACATCCCCTCAGGAAAGATCAACCATTGACAAAGGATGTCCTGTTTGGTAAATTTGAGGTCCGGTGACAATGAACAGAACCCTCAATGAGATGGGTGGACACAATAACCACAAGAATGGACTCATCCATCTGGGCGATCACTGAGATGGTGCCGGGTCCGGCAATGCTGCATTGGTATACCTCTAGTTGCCTGAGCCACAGTCGATTTGATGGCAGCTAACAATAGCAAAAATAACAATTGGATGATAGTCTTTTTTCTTACTTTTCAAGGCAGCGAATTTTGAGGTGGTTGACATTTAGTCTGGCATAACTACCTCATGTAGGTGCCTACTGGATACTACTTTCTTCCCGCCTGGTCATGTACACTTAGTTTTAGAACGTGAGTAGCCCAGTTTGGTAGTCAGACACATATAGATTAAAATCCTGGCTATTTTTATTGTGGACTAAGGCAATTTCATTAATTTCTCTGAGCCTCAGTTTCCTCATCTCTAAAGTGAGGATAATACTTTCTTCATGGGTCTTGTGGTGCTGATTAAAGCAAGATAATGTATAAAAAGCATTTTGCACTGTCTCATAAACACTCGATAGATGCTGATTTTTATTGTTCATTGATATGCTGTTATGATAAGTTATTACTCAGTCTGTCCTGTAACATTGATATCTTTTTATTTGGAAATTTTGAAGAATGTGTGCCTGTCTCTAGTCTTCTGGCACTAAGTCAAAGAATAGAGCAAAAATGCAGATAGCACTGTTTTCTGTCTACTGTCTGTCAAGGTTACCCAGCTGTCCAAAGCTGTAGCTCTTCCCTTTTGGGGTTCTAATGACAATATTGTTTAAAATGTGTCCTCAACCCCTCACCTGACACACACCTGTCGTGACCCTCATATGTTTCACATGACTCAGCGCCTTTGGGGTTCCAGCTAGCATCAACACACCAATCGGGGTCACCCATTCTTTTGCCTTGAAAGTAGCATGTGCAATATTTTGTGTAAATCATCTGTCATCCTCAAGCCCCGGTGGCATAGTGGTTACATGTTGGGCTGCTAACCATGGCAAAAGATGGGGATTTCTACTCCCATAAAGAGTTTCAGAAACTCACAGGGGAAGTTCTACCCTGTCCTATAGGCTTGCTACGAGTCAGTATTGACTCCACGACAGTGAACTTGGTTTTGAGTTTTTTTGAGTCAACATCAAGATTGGTTTGGATTCAACCTTGAAGTCATTCAACCCTTCCAGAATGGGATAGAAAACTCATTAACTCATCAGGATCCAGGATAAGGGAGCAGGAGTTGAAAAAGGCAGGAGATGACTTGAGTCATGGGGGAAACAAGGCACAAGGTGGGAAATAGAACAGAATCATAGCATTAAGGGCCCGGGTGCAAACTTACAGAGCCATCAGAAACTGCCAAACCCAAGGTCCTTATATCCTCACTTTAACATCCATGATGCTGCATTCTGAGTCTGAAGTGAATCTACAGGTAGTGTTAGATGGTATCAGTCATGGAAGGAACTAGACTGCCCTGGTGGAAAGCTAAGCATGATACTAACATGTCCAGAAAAAAAATCCCCCAGATTACCGACCCTAGTTCAACCCATCCTGTT